TTTTTTTTTTTTTTTTTTTTTTTTTTTTTTTTTTAAGTGTTTTAAGCTAATTTAATAGTGTGAACGCTTGGCTTTGTAGGGAGGAGCCATACCTCTATGGTTGCTCTTAACAGGATAGGGCTCAGCCCCACTCTGCAAACTTTGCAATCCCCCCCCTACCAGCTTTGAATGAAACATCTCCAAAATTAAAGGATTTTCAGCAGTTTAGCAAATCCCAGCCCTGCATGGGCACGCTCAGGGCCGGCTCTGCAGCCGGCTGGGTGACAAGCATGAGCCATACCCTGCGGAGGGTCGAATTCTTGGCTGGCACCTACCTTGTTAAGGTTATTGCCGAGTGGGTTTTGCTAACGTGCAGCTGCATCCGTGCTGGCAATTAGCCGCCCTCTAATTGCAGGGGAGCCCTGGGGTCAGCGGGAGATGGGGTGGAAGTTGGGTTGCTGAACCAGTCTGTGTGTGCATCGAGCAGTAGGCAGGTGGTGGTCTACCACGTGTGTGGAGGAAGTGGTCCAGGAAGGAAATAAAGAGTATCTGAAAGATACTCCAAAGGATATTCATGTGGATGCTTGGACAGGACATTAGAAATGAGGGAAAACTTTTGCTGGGGTTGGTATTAAATTGGTATAATGGACTGTATAAAGGGTTACATCAGCTGCTTGGAAGGAAAAGTGATGCTCCTGCTGCCGTGAGGCCCCGAAGGGGCTGGTGGCAGTGCCCTCCTGCAGTCTGCATTGCCCACACGGCAGCCCCTGAGCCCACGGGTATCAGGGGTCACGCCAGGAGAGTGCTGAGCACCGCAGCGCTTTGGCTGTTATTCTCCAAACCTCACTGCAGCCGCATTTCTCTGGCTCTGCACTCCCTCTCCTCGTCCATCTTGTCTTCTGCCGTTCTCCTTCAGTAGCAGTTAACCTTCATTTCGTTCTCCTCCTCCCCACCGTGCACCGCTGCTTTCATTCCTCTTCTCTCAGGAGGAACCTGACCTTTGTTTGATATCGCTCCTTCCTTTTACTAACTGGGCACCAGGTCTGTTTCCTACCCCTGTCTCTCTACCCCTTCTTTTTTTTTTTTTACTTAAATTCAGCATCTGCAGAGAGCCGGACGCGCAGCCTCTAGCATTCACCTGCATCCCTAAGCAGGCAGCCCAGGCGATGCTCAGAGGCATCAAGGTGCAGGTCTGGGAAGGGATGAACACACAGCATCGCACCCACAACAAACCGGGGACGTTACGAAACTCCCGTTCACGCTCTCCCGTTGTCGGTGCGTCTCGTTGGCAGAGGAGCATTTTCTGTGTCTAACGAAGCACGGCTAGAAAATGAAATAGAAATAAATATAGCCCGCTGGTGGCTCAGCAGCCGCTCTCCGATGGCGGATAGTCAGTGCGTCTGTCGGCGGGTATGGCAGCTGCCGGCAGATCGATACCAATCCCGTCTCGCAGGGAGAAGGCAAGGCTGAGCCGTGAGCCGTGTTCCTGCCACACGCCTGCTGGGAATTTGAGTCCCGTCCCCCGTGTCCCCCGTGCCAGCCTCGAGCGTGAGCGCGGCCTTTCCCCAAACACCGGCTGGAAATTTCCAGTGGCTCACAGTAGTCCCAAAACAAAAAGCAGTTGCCGGCCCCCCCTCCAGCACTGCCTTTCGGGATATCTCGTCCCTGGCAGACACAACCGAGCTCTGCCTCACTCACTGAATTTTAAAGCCTCTAAGTGCCGCACTGTATTGGCGGGACTGATATTAAACGATTAGTTGGGTCCACCCTGCAGCGATAGGAAAACATGTGTTTTCATCTCCACGTTTACTATAAATAAGCATATAGTGTGTAGAAACCATATTGTAAATGTTTAACCTTTTGTAGTTGAGGGTGAGCCGAGATAAATAAACATGCATCAGGGGTACGTGAAGGGATGGTAAATCTGTCCCTGGGATGAATTCTGTCCCAAATTCTTCCTTAAACTCAGCTCTCACTTGGTGCCTGCTGGCTGCTCCTGGCTAAGTGGTCAGTTGAGTTTTTTATCTTTTTTTTTTTTTTTAATCCACTAAATTATTTATTTTGTTTCTGTGCTCCCTTTGTTTTTCCTTTGTTGTTATTTTTCTCCTATTTTTCATGGGGTGATTTCTAGATTTCAAACTGCCTCATCTGCAGTCCCCATAACACAGCGGGGCACAAACTCCTTCCTTAGGGTCTCGATTTTCTCTGCAAAATCATTCTCTTGAGAAGGGACAAGGCACAAAACTGGTCTGCAGATAAGAGTCACAGCAAGTTCCGTGGGGCTGCATGTGCCTAGATCTGGAGTTCACAGTTTCACGAGAGTTTGTTTGGTTTTTTTTTCTCAGGATTCAGGTGTTTTGTGGAAACTGGAATTTTTTTACCTCAAACTGAAACATGAGTTTCGGTAAGACGTGATGGAGCAAAGCGATATGTGCCGAGGGTGGGGAATCTGGGGCCAAACCCAAAGCAGAACCAGCAGCGCGGAGAAACAAGTATCTTTGCCTTTGTGTTTGCCATTAATGCACTCTAACGAAGCAGACCGGAGCCCCATCCTGCAACCAACCATCCACATCCTTCCGAACCACATTTAAAGTCTCCAGCTGCCATACAGGTGCCCAGATATTTCTTTTTTCCTACCTCCTTTTTAGCTGAAATCAATCCTGCCCCTCCCAATGCAGAATTACTTCCTATAATGCATTACCTGATGTGACTCTTGTAACATTTATCCAGCTGATGTGGCTTTCACCAGCTCTCTTGGGCAATACTCAAAAAGCCAGAGAGGTTTTTAGTCTGGTTGTAGTTCCTGATGCTTAGCAGAAATAGTCCTCAGCTTGCTTTAATTTCATTGCCACTTAGGCATCCTTCATTGTCCCAGCCTAAATAATTAATCTCTGGGGTTTTTTTGCTGTGTGTCTATTTTGCAGTTCATTGTTACTCCTTGACTATTTCTTTAAAAAGCTGCACATATTTCATGTCTTAAATACAGGTTTCCAAAATTCTGGTCATGAAGGGATGTTTCACAAGTGAGCTATTGAAGGCTGCGCTATAAAATTAACCAGCAGTGAAATTCCTGATGTATAAAATTAAAACCAGGGGCAGTGACTGTGTAAATGGCCACATAGCACTACATCTGGCTGGAAGAGACCCTGTTGCTGTCACAGATTCCATTAATGGCTATTTCAGGGGATGCTACAACTTTTAATGCCTTTAATGCCACACATAAAGGTTTCGGAGGCCATAGGCAGCCTGTGGGATGGACTTTGGAAACCTTAAGGTGATACATCATGACCCACTCCTACCAACCTACAGATTGCTCTTACTTTGCTGCTTTGTTTAATTAATTTAATTAATGAGATCCCCTGAAGGACTCTAGGATCAGCCTGTTAACCCCGTTTTAGGCGTTGCCTCTGAAATCCCAAAGAATTGATTCATTTTCCTTTGCTGCCATTGGGAAAGTGAAATCTGTGTTTGCAGGCAATTACTGCCACTTTTCCTGAGCAATATTTTTCCAATAAATACTTCTGTTAGTGTTTACCTGTCAGGGAAATCAAGGTATTGCTACACATTTTCCCAAATAAAAACTTCTGGTTCTCTTTTTTTATCTGTTTAGTACCTTTTCTCTGCCCTGCTGGTATTTATAGGTTCAGCTAAACTAGTATTAGCTTTAGTTTGTGATTGCAGTTGTTTCCTTCAGGTGTTCAATGAGACTCTTAAACAGACATACCATATCTCTTCGGTGTTTTATAAACTTGCTGTTTCAGGGTAGATTATTTTTAACTGGAATGATTTAACTTATTTTTTATCTGAATAAATAACCTGAAAAATCCTGCTAAAAAATTGTCTTTATATATAGGTATATGTCTTAAGAAAAGATCCATTTCTCTCTGAAAAACATATAAATATAACTTTAAACTTCCCATTAAACTGCATTTTTTTGGCTAAAAAGGGGTAGACTACAGCTGTACCCATTTTCCAGAGTGGTTAAGTACATAGTGATATTTGTGCCATTTCTTTACATTTTATTTATGTTGGCAAATTGCGACTGATGCTTTTTTTTTTTTTTTTTTTTTTTTTGGATGATTACTTGTACACTTGTGGGTCTTGCCAGGTTGGGTGAAACAGGCACTCACTTAAATTACGTATACAGAATTTTATTTATTAGCTAATTAAAGCGCTCTTAAATGTGATGAATCCATAAGAGGGGAAATAAGCTTATCCAAAGCTGTTTTACATTCCAAATGATGAAACAAAGGAAGAAGTGTTGTGATAATGAAGGAACTGAGCTGATGGTTCTAAATATGTGAAAGCATTGATAAGTGAAAACAGGTAGATTTTTGTTATTTCACTGCTGTGTCAACCCCCATCACTCTCCCAAGTTCAAACCAATTATTCGGTGAACTAAATGGGGTAGGTCTTTACAGCAATGTTCTCTATGCATCTCTTGAGGATGCTCCTGTGAGTAAAATCCAAATTAAACTTTACAAGCTCTGGTCATTTGAAATGCTCAGATGCTCAGACAGCAGCTTCTCTTCAGGCATTTGACTTTTCTGAAAACTTCACCACTGCTGGTTTCTCTCAGTTTACATCATCGGAAAAGATATTGACTTTAAATCTAACTGTAGATTTTTTTTTTTTTTCTCCCCATGATATTAAATACATCTGTTTTTAAAAGAAAGATGGATTTAAATAAAAGTCACTCTAAAAGCACAAAATAAATCCTGTGCTCTATGGCCAAATTCACATCTTCAACTCTCAAATTAGATCTCTAGCTGATCTGATTTGGATTAATTTTAAGTGTTACTTGGGAGGGCAGCTACATGAAAGGCTTTACTGTAATTATCTGCTTCCAAGAACTGTGACCCAATTCGTACTTGACCTTGGTGACTGCAGGTTTTAGCCACCCATGTCCAAGATCTCTTGGTACCTCCTCTCTGCAGAAATGTCACCAAGCAGAAGTGATTTCCCTGCTGCATTCCTGGAGAACCTTTATATTGCATCAGCAAACTACCCAGGCCTGATAAACTGGGGTCAGGACTGCAAATGCTGGCTGGATGAGCAAAGAGAGAAAACTGACAACCCATTTAATTTAAATTTTTACAAGTTTATGAAAACCTTTTTTCATTAACAAGTTTATAAGAAAAAAGCAGCAAAGACTGACTTTCTTTTCCCAGCTACTGTCAGGTACATTGGTTGGCCAATGCATTAAGTCCAGTTGATGGTGAATCCAGTAGACATATGCGTGCTCACTTGTGCTGCAGTTTTGGGTCTTCCGAGGTTGCCAGACTATCAGATTCATCTTCACGCTAGGAAGATACAAACGTGCAAGTAATGGGATGAATTAGGCAAAACTAGATCATTAACTTGTCATATGTTGATTCCATTTTATGAATGACAGCCGTGGACTAGTTATCCTGCAGCCTTATCCATGGGCCAGATGTTTGCATCTTTAAATGTTAGGAAGAATTTAATCAGGTGTGGGGGCAGTGGGGAGGTCCAAAATAAAAGCAAGCTTGTGTCCTGGGAGACTGAAATCCAGCTTGTGTGGGTCTGTAGGCTGCAAAATAGCCATAAGCAGAACAGGCTGGTCAGGGCACCTGTCTGAGCAGCGTCCAGAGGTGGGAGAGGAGCAGAGCCCATGTGGCGAGGGGTAACGCTGTGTCTGCTGAGCTCTGTGCTGCTACACCCACAACTCTTCCAATGCCAGAGCTAAACCTTGGTCAAATTTCTGATGCTGTTACTGGCACCATAGATGTGGTCTTCAGCTTCGGAGAGCTCATGTTACTGCCATATTTAGTTAGCAGCCTCCCTTTTGGGACTGCTGATAAAGACACCAGTTACAAGATTCTCCCCCTTTACTCTGCTCTGGTCAGACCCCCCTGCAGGGCTGGGTCCAGCTCTGGGGTCACCAAGAGCAGAAGGACACGGACCTGCTCCAGTGGGGCCAGAGGAGGCCACAGAGATGCTGGGGGGGGCTGGAGCCCCCCCTGTGAGGGCAGGCTGGGAGAGTTGGGGGGTTCAGCTGGAGAAGAGAAGGCTCCAGGGAGACCTTAGAGCGGCCTCCCAGGGCTGAAAGGGGCTGCAGGAAAGGGGGAAGGGACTCATCAGGGGGTGTAGGGATAGGATGAGGGGCAGCAGTTTTAATCTGCAAGAGGGGAGATTTAGATGAGATCTAAGGCAGAAATTGTTCCCTGTGAGGGGGGTGAGGCCCTGGCACAGGCTGCCCAGAGAAGCTGTGGCTGCCCCCTCCCTGGAAGGGTTCAAGGCCAGGTTGGATGGGGCTTTGGGCAACCTGGGCTAGTGGAAGGTGGCCCTGCCTGGGGCAGGGGAGTTGGAACTGGATGGTCTTTAAGGTCCCTTCCAACCCAAACCATCCCATGGGTCTATGTTTTAAACATTATCTGTTCAGATTGGACTGAGACATTTGCCTCTCATTCAACTTACATAGCCAGTGAGTCTTTGGATCAGAATAAACCTAGGGTGAATGTTGAGTTTAAAATGAAAATCTGTTATCTTTGGACCATCTGGTCTTTAGATCGTGACTCTTGACAAGGGGCTCTGCCAAGTGAAGCCTGTCACGTACACAGTGAGGGAAACCTCTCCCTCTGCAGCTGGCAAAGGCTGGCAGCATGAGAAAACTACTGCTATGATATAGATAAGGACAGGCTTGGGCTCAAAAATCTGAAAACATGGCCTATGAAGAAAGAGCAGAAACATTTGGGTTGTTTAGTCTAAAACAGCCTGAGGAGTAGCAGAAGATGGGAAGCAACAAACATGGCCTTTGGGGTCACTGTCAGTCCTGCTTGTACAGGCTGTGGTATTTGCAGGGAAATGTAGGGAACGCGTTCATTTGATGAAACCTGAAAAAAAGTAAAACCCATTTTAAGCTGGTTTTGTGAATGTCAGACTGTGCTTGTAGCAATGCTTTTACAGCCATACTGGAAGTCCTTATGGGACAAAATACACGGCAGCCACTCATACCACAGAATTAGCCTAGTTGAAGCCTCTAGATGATCAGTTTTAAACAGCTCTTGACTCTAAATTGGGTAGAAGTCTTCAAGAGTGGGAAGTACACCAAGGCCACCATGCTAAGGGGAGTTTAGCACTGGAACAAATATTTTTTTCTAGGGTGTATTTGGCTGAGGTTAGTCACAAAGATGGTCTTTGGTCATGGGCATAGATGGGGTGTTGTGTTGGTCTATGCATGCGTCTTTATTTGCCAGTTTGGTTGGATATGTGGGACAAGGGATACGTGGGCAAAGCACTCGGATTTAGAGATCTGCTTCTTTCCATTCATTACTGTGCTGTGAGATACAGAGTGTGTGCTGCGGGCTAAAGAACAGAGTGGAAAGCTAGTCTTAAACTAGAAGTGAAATACAGATTCTCCTTTGACCTGTTCATTAGCTGCCCTAGGTTAGGCATGTTTTTCATAGCAAAATGTGCTCGCTATCTAGGGGTGTGTTTGTTTTAGGGTGCCATTAACACTATCATTTGGGTTTCAGCAGCCATAAAAGAATTGCTATTTTGGTACAAGATGACATTCTTCCCATCTGTATTTTGCTGTGACTCCAGAGTTGATAACAGCGTCATAGTGTCTATGATTATTCCATGACTAGTTAGGAAAGTGCCTGCACTTAAGTTTAATTTCAAGGGAGCTGTTTGGTGGCTTTCTGTTGAACGACTCTAGTTGCTACAGCAAGAGTTACTTCCTACCTCTGTAAGTAGACACTGATGGCTTTCCTGCTGATTAAGTCAACAATAAAACTGGGAATGAACTTTTGATTGATTTAGATTCAGCAAACAAGGAAAAACAGACTTGCAGGTCCTCAGCTGGCAGGAATTAGGACCCACCTTTTCAAGGCAGCTGAGCTGATCTGCAGTGGAAAGAGCTACGTAGCTCCTTCCTGTTCCCTGCCACCAGCCCTGGCATTCCTCTGGTTCCAAGATGTAACAGAAACATAGCCTGAATAGAAAATTATGCTTTTTCTCCCTAAAGTGGTTCCCTATAGGGGCAGATGAGTGCCAGAGCTGGCATAAGGGAGGAGGAAGGTATGGTGGAGGGAGGTATGTCCCTTCCTGCAGCAGTGACGCTTAACTGCGCCATAAAATTGCATCCTCTGTCCATCTCAGCTGATTGCAGAGGAGCTGCATGGAAACTACGTCAACTGGGATATGGCCCCAATTAATTAGGAAATGTTTTCTAAGGTAAAGCCTGTTGGAAGAAGAAAGCCTGCTGGTTTGTTTGTTTGTTTGTTTTTTTACTGAATGGAACTGCAGTCTGTCACGTGCTTACGGCAGCACGGCTCGCTGGCTCCCAGCTAGGCTGACTGCACTCACATGTGTGTCAGGGGATTCTGCTGCAACAGCTTTGCTGCTTTAATTATATCTTCGGATGCTGTAGAAAGTGTTGGGTTGTGTCCAGTTCTTGTCCTGTCCTTTTTTTCCCCTCTAAATTCTGTATTTGCGAGGGAGATGGGATCAGGTGAGCACAAAACGCAAGTCTTGCTTTGAAGTCAGCAGTTGTTCTGCTATAGGCATCCATGGGACAGATTTCACTTTTAGCATGATGGTAAAAATTGTGGAAGACTCATGATTTCTGGCTCTAAACTGGACTAAAAAAAGTTCTGTTCAAGTCTGTTGGGAGAAAAAAACATCCTTACGCTTGTTCTTAAGATATAACCTCCAAAAGCAATTCCTCACTTCTAACTTCTATGATGAATTTATGCCACGTAGTTACCCTTATATATTTAAGACTCTATCTCTGTAGTTTAACCTTTCAAAAAGGTAAATGCAACTAAATGTGTGGTATTGGATTTTTTTTTTTAATTTAGAATTAGTCCCAGCACTGTGAATTTTCCGTCATGTCAGAACCAATCACGCTCAATGTTGGAGGTAAACTCTATACCACCTCTCTGTCCACCCTGACCAGCTTTCCAGACTCCATGCTGGGGGCCATGTTTAGTGGGAAGATCCCAACCAAGAAGGACAGCCAAGGCAACTGCTTTATTGACAGAGATGGCAAAATCTTCCGCTATATCCTGAACTTCTTACGAACTTCTCACTTGGACCTCCCTGAAGACTTTCAGGAAATGGGCTTACTTCGACGGGAAGTAGATTTTTATCAAATTCAGCCCCTGATTGAGGCTTTGCAGGAGAAGGAGGTGGAGCTTTCTAAAGCAGAGAAGAATGCCATGCTCAACATCACCCTCGATCAGAAGACCCAGACAGTTCACTTCACCGTCCGAGAAGCACCCCAGATCTACAGCCTGTCTTCCTCCAACATGGAAGTGTTCAGTGCCCGTATCTTCTCCACATCGTGCTTGTTCTTGAAGCTTCTCGGTTCCAAACTTTACTATTGCTTCAACGGAAACCTCTCTTCCATATCCAGCTACCTGCAGGACCCCAACCATTTGACCTTAGATTGGGTTGCAAGTGTGGAAGGCCTTCCTGAAGAAGAGTACACCAGGCAGAACTTAAAGAGACTCTGGGTGGTGCCAGATAATAAGCAAATCAATAGTTTCCAGGTGTTTGTGGAAGAAGTGCTAAAAATAGCCATGAGTGATGGTTTCTGCATAGATTCTTCGCACCCACATACTTCAGATTTCATGAATAATAAGATTATTCGCCTAATACGATACAAATAGGAATGGCTATTTATTACGGTGCCAGCATGGAGATAACACAGGTTAAGTGTTTCCCTTTAAAACACACTTACAGCCTAATTCGGAATCATGCTTATCTGGATTAAGAGTCACTAACAGGGAGATGATTTTCCTTTAATGTATTTACCAATACAACCTTTCAGAATATGTCCATATTCTAGATGGAAGGAATATTGTCCAGCACCTGAATTAAGGACTGGTTCTGTCTCTGCCTCCACCTCTGACCTGCTGTACAATTGTGGAGAAAATCACTTAACTTCTGTCCTTCCTACATTTGCCAGTTGGAAAATCGGAGTGATCCTTAACCTATATTGCAAGGGAATGTGAGGGTTCAGTAATCAAGGTTTTAGGAGGTATCTGGAGAACAGATGCGGTGAAAGATGCCCCGGAGCTGCAGTGCAGCAGGCAGCCCCAGGGGCAGATTTTCCATGTCTTGCCATATCACCTGTGCAGAGCATCCAAGCAGCTTGGTTGGATCCGCAGAGAATCAGCCTCCCACGTGTATGCACTCAATACAGCTGTAAAGGGTGATGCAGATGGCAAATGAGTACGGGATTCCTGTCACTTTGGGTTCAGCAAAGGATTTCTGTCATCAGCTGAGGCTGGCTTGGGTTTGTTTAACCCTGTGAGGGAGCCCCTGCTCCGTTCTGCTTTCACAGAAGCTGTGTTTGAATGATGTGACTGGCACAGGGAACAACCGAGGAAGCCATAGCAGAGATAATGGTGTTCCTACAAACTGAGAAGACGGTGGCTGATGGGGGAACTTTGCTCTGAATGCTCTTAAACCTTTACTTTTACATTCCAAGGGCATCCAAGACAACTAGTCCTTTTCTTTCTTCTTACAATGTTATATTTGTCCGGAGGATGCTGCTGAAACTTTCTGAGGTGGAGACAGATTTGGGGTCAGAGGCCCCCGAATAAATTCTAAATGTTTGAGCCTCTTCCACCTGGACACAGCCGCCTTTTGGGGACATCTCCCTTCAACAGTGCCTGGAGTGCACGGGATGCTCTCTGGGTAGGATGGATTCCATCTGAAAAGACATTCCCATCAGGTTACACCTAGTTGTTTTCATTACAAAAACGGAGGCTCGCTTTTCCTACCCTGGTAGAATGAGCCATTTTTATATCATTGTGAAATGATCTGGTCACTAAGTTAACATTTCACCCACTTGCTTGGCTTGTGTCAGATTGTTGGAGGTGAGGCAGTGGGAAACCAGAGGTGATGACAATGGTCAAGCTTTCCTACACACCCAGTCTATGCCACCATGAAGATCGTAATCCGCTAGCTGCATGTTGGCTCTGAACATTGTTTGTGCCACATTCAAGGTGGTTCGTTCATTAAATTGTGTTTAAGAGTATTTTAGCTGTCTTTCCCTAACCAGATAGTTATGTGTGCATGAGAGACCCTCTGGAACATTTCCTGTTATCTCTAATGAGATAAAAAGGAAAATGCAATAGCCAAGTTTTTCATTTAGAATTTTAGTGCTTCCAAAAGTTCTTAGCACAGGGCTGCAAAGCTCAGTGTTGCTCATGTTCTTGTTTCCCAAAGTAACTAGTCTGTCCTTGCATTAAGCTGACCTGAGAACAAGCATAAAGAAGCATTTTGTTACTGTTGTGAAAAACTGTGAGATAAATGTATTTCTACTGTCCCAAGCTGTAACTGCACGAACCACACAAACCAGCGTGCTGACAGCAAAACGCACATTCTGCAGCTATTGGCAGCCTGTTATAAACCACTGCCCCTGTCTGACTTGGTGCTAAACCAGCAAGATTTATGTGGGACCATGTTGTTAGGAAGCGCTGACTGGGCTTGAAGCCCTCAGAACCATTAAACCTGGCAAGTTTCATGAATTTTGAGGATTGTAAACAGGGTTTTGTAGCCAGATTCCAGCTTGAGTCACCATATCCTTCTAGTTTTAGTTGCATTAGTAAGAACTCTTTTTTTTTTATTCTATTCCCCCATTCCTGTCCCAAATTACAAAGTGGGAGTGATCTGTTTCAGGCATTGCTGGATGCCCCTGACAAAGCAAAACAACCCGAGTGTGAATCTTATTTCTGACATGAGCTTGCCAGTCAGTTGGGCATTCACAGTGATGCCCTATGCACGTAATATGACCATCATCTGTAAAATACCATACAAGAACCCTCTTTCATCAAATCTATGCCTTTGCTGAATTTATGGTAACAGCTTTGGGGGACTGTTGACAGTATTTTATTTTTAATTCACACCCTTGAGAGTGGATTTCTAAATGATCTGTAACAGGAGTTCTTGTATATCAGGACTAAAATGATACTTATCTGCAGTAATTTGTTTCTTGTCAGCTTGAGTTTTACCAGAGATAAGAGCAGTGGGCTTACATTTCATTTGGAAGGTGGGAAGAAGTCTGATCTACACTCTTTAGAGCTCTGGATCAGTACTGCTCCATTCTGTTTCAACAAAATAAAAATATTCCCTGGGAAAGTTGAATCATTACTGCGTTTTCTGGTGAAAGGCAAGTAAGAGGAGTCTGTAAAAGCACTATGCATGGCTTAATCTAGAACATTTACTCGTCCCCTTTTCTTCACACAGTAGCAGCACCCACACTAAAAGCAGTTATACAGTTTTTTAAAAGTCTGAATGAGAAATGAAGAGTACCCCAACCTGGCCTAGACAGTAACTAGGGTAATTCTGCTGATGTGGATATATGGGTTCCAATCCCCACAGACTGAGGAGGGAAGTGAACTCAGATCTTATGGAGTGCTTTAACCCATCAATCTATTATGCAAAAGATGGATGACTTGAATACACATTTACCTGTGCTCAAGAACCTAAATCAGGCAAAGGTATGGTTGGCCAAAAATGTCAGTTATTAATATGCAGAGAGATGCAAAATATCTCTCTTCTATATGCAGAAAGATGCAAACTTTCCAAGAAGTATAAAGATACGAGTGAAGACAGGCTTTGGGGAGGAATAGGAAAATTTCAGATAGCTCTACATTACTAAGCAGAATAAACATCTTTAAGCATAAGATACTATTTATAATGCCACAGCCGTTTGGCATGCTAATGGCGTATGTGAAGTAAGCAATAAGTGAATCACTTGTGATTGCAGTCAAACATATGTTATACAAAGGCCGTTGCTATTTCAAAGTACACACTAAGCTAAATTTATAGCTGCTCCTTAATTTTGCAGTCTGTGAGTTACATTATAATGACTGTTTACAGGAATGTTCTCCCTCCAAAACATTTGTTCCCTTTTTATCTAGATGGCTGGCTTTTGTTTACCTTCTTTTTCTGAGCCCTAGAGGTGTAACTTGCTTCTCTTTACCAGTCAACAGCACTAATGATTCTTCTTCTCAAGAGTTTTCCTGAATTAAAGAAAATTGAACGCGCACAGAGCCATATTAAGTACAGTGCCACCCCATTGCTAGTCATGAAAAGCACTTGGCATTTATTAGCAGTAACATCTAGAAATTATTTCACTGTTGAGTGTAATATTCACTCTCAGAACAAACATTTTTTTTCCTGTAAGGGCCTAAAAACAAAGAAAGGATCTAGTGAGGTTTTTTCTCTCAAAGTCTGAAGAGTGCTCTCTTCCACATCTTGGTGCGTAACTCCTGTTCTGATCCTGCCATACGCCTGTCTCCCTCAACACCTTCTACAAAAGAGGCTAAGCCCTGCACTACTTTTTTAAAAGGACTGCATGCTGAGAGAGCCACTGAATAAAGCAATCAATAGTGTTAGAGCAGAAAAATACCAGAGTTAGGTCAGATGATAAGTTATTGGCTGCAGTCTAATGGCATTTTCCGATATGGGCATGTGCATAATAGCACAGTGGGATTTTTTTATATGATGAAAAGATTATTATGAAACATTTTAGTGGAATCCAGAAAGAATCACTCATGGATTTCTCTGTGTGTTTTTAGTCTTGATAGTTCTTAAATATATAACAATGTCCAGTGATAATGAAGGAACTGAAACCATACATAAATATTAAGGCATCTTTGGTTCATGCAGCTGTTAAGGGTCAGTAGGAGTTGGTGGGTGGAACGTTTGTTGCTGCAGGCAATGGAAGAGAAATAAAAGAAATAGATGTTAAAAGTTAGACCTGAAAGAATTCACATTAACAAGAAACCCAGGGTTTAGAAGGGAGAGAATAAAGAATCTTTATGTGTTTGGGAAAAAAAAAAAAAAAAGCAAGGTGACAATGGAGACAGATTTTTTCTATGGAAGGAGGCTGTGATTAGAATGACTCACTGGTCCTTTCCAGTTTTAATCTCCTATTATGCAACCTAAATATTGGTCATGCCAAGAGTTATGCTAGTAACTTGTCAGGAGCAGACAGTTTTGCTTCAATTTGCATGTGCTTTAAATCATCAAACATATGCACTGCTGTAGTTACCATACTTTAACTGGGTTGCTGAGTATAAATTGCTGCTTGAGTTCACTGGCAGTAAATACCTGCAATCAATTAGATTTATTCCCAGTCTAGGAAAGGCTGGTGAAGTCCATATGTAAGGTTGATGGGAGTGATAAATACTGCCTTCAGCCATAGACTTTGGGAAATAAATCTAGGATCTTCTGATACTTCACAGATAAATGAAGAAGTTATGAAGAAGACTCCTTTGGTGAGTTTCATTTTCATCCCATCCCTTTGTATTTGGTGTCACTGCTCAGAATTTCAATATATTTTGAAATATGTAACTGCCTTTCTGTAATGACTCCCATATCCACATACTGATACATGCAGGGTACAAGCAGTGCTAGTATGTGGCCCTCACAGTACAAGTCTTGTATGTGAATTAGTACAGGCAGTCATGCAAATATTCTGTGCAAGAAAGGCTGGATCGAGCATAAATATGCACATCATGCTCTCAGATTCACTTGGGGATAACACAAGGGATGGTTCCTCTATAAATTCAGAAAAAAAAATGAGCTACAGGAGAGTGCTGTATGGAATAATTCCTTTTCTCTTCCTCTCGTCATTCCTCTCCTCCTTAATTTCTTGCTCCTATTCCTAACAGTAGAATTTTTTGATCAGAATTTGGTCCCTAATTCACTAAAAGCCATGCTTTTGAATTAATACTATTTGGAAAGTGTCAAAAGATGGGTTTTATTTCTTACCACTTTGATAGAAAGCCTGTAGGGCTATCACATTTAAAAATCTGGTTGCATTTCTCTGCCTGTAACTCTTGTGAACCGTTACTAATATGTATTTTAGAAAACAGTAAATAAAATGTGAATGAAGCAGGAGATGCTCTGCCTGACACACATTCCTTGAGGAAAAAGCATGCAGTGATGCTTGCTGAATCTGTTCTTTTCCTCTAAGGATTTTACACAGTGCATTATTGCAACGCTTACCTAGACGTCTTTGTGCCTGAAAATTGTAGGAAGCTCCCCCCAAATTAGTGCAGTTGTAGAAAACTTGGATGAACAAGCCTTCCTAAATAAATGGAAACCATTTTAAATGCATTAGCTCATTTGTGTTTCAAACATTTAGAAACAGAGGATTAATTCCTCCTTTTCTCTTTCTTAAACCCCAATGCTTTACCACTGTTGAACTTATCTCTACTCCCAGAGTTCAAACAAACTATAATATATTGCTGCTGTATAGAAAAAAAATAATTTAACATATTATCTATATGATTTCATGCAGCCCCTACAAGGTACTATGCCTAGATAGATGAAGGTTTGCTGTAAGGAAGTGAAAAGGCATCAGCCTTGTATGCATCCACCCTCCAGGCTGGCAGTTTCTTCCAGGTATTAAAAAATTGAGCTTATTCCACTGAAAAAACACTTTAAACCTTGAAGCCAGCTCAGACCCCTGTGACAGTGGTTGGAGATAGCACGTCCCTGGAGCAGAGCTAAGCTGGTGTGATTTGGAAGTGCTTTCTGCCCAATGCCAGGCAGCTCTCAGCACAAGAGCTGCCATAAATTCCCCCATGCTCTCCACCCAACATTGTCACCCACAAACACTGTTTCTTGGCACATAGTGGGACACTGTTTCTGTGTCCCAAATCAACATGGTTAAGCCCATGCTGATGGCAATAGCGGCGTGATGGGCTCCCTGGCACCCTGCCCCACATCACAGAGGGGATGCAAAGGAGCATCCAGAGAGAGATCCTAAAAGATTACCCAGATCAGGGTAAGCCAGAGCCCTCTGTCTCCTCAACTATATCCCAGGGACAGGGGAGGCTCCTGGAAGCAGTGGCTGATGTTGAGCACTGTAGGGACAGCATTTCTCAGCTCTAGTAAATACAGAGGAGCATGAAGGGATGGAGTTGGAGCTGTGCTCAGGTGATGCCAACCCTGTGTGAGACCAGGGATGACAGCACTGCAGCCTAAGCCCAGGCTGCTGCAAGTACCACCCCACAGTGGCCCCACAACACTCAATCCCACATCACCGCCTAGCACCATACGTGGCCCCATAGCCACCTAACCCCTTAACACCCAGGATCACCAACCACCCAACTCCACTGCTGGTCCCACACCACCCAGCTCCACATCATCCAGGCCCAACACCACCCAGCTCCACACCTGGTCCCACAGCCACCCAAGCCCATGTAACCCAGGCCTAACCCCCACCCAACCCCCTGTCACAGAATTACAGAAATACAGAACCATTCAGGTTGGAAAAGACCCTTGGGATCATCGAGTCCAACCCTCAGCCCAACTCTACAAAGTTCTCCCCTACACCATAGCCCCCAGCATCTCATCTAAACGACCCTTAAACACATCCAGGGATGGGGACTCCACCCCCTCCCTGGATAGCCTATTCCGCTGTCTGACCACTCTTTCTGGAAAACATTTTTCCCTAATGTCCAGTCTGACCCTCCCCTGTTGCAGTTTCAAGTCGTTCCCTCTTGTTCTGTCACTAATCACCTGTGAGAAGAGACCAGCACCAACCTCTCTATAATGTCCTTTCAGGGAGCTGCAGAGAGTGATGAGGTCTCCCCTCAGCCTCCTCCTCCTCAAACTGAACACTCCCAACTCCTTCCATGGCTCCTCATAGGATTTATTCTCCAGGCCCTTCACCAGCTTCTTTGCCCTCCTCTGCACTCACTCCAGCACCTCGATATCTCTCTCGTATTGAGGTGCCCAAAACTGGGCACAACGCTCCAGGTGTGGCCTCATCAGTGTAGAGCGCAGGAGGACTGTCACCTCCCTGCTCCTGCTGATCACACTAGTTCTAATACAAGCCAGGATGCCGCTGGCTTTTTTGGCCACCTGGGCACACTGCTGGCTCATGTTCAGCTGCTTGTCAATTAGAATCCCCAGATCCTTCTCTTCCACACAAGCCTGTAGGCCTGTAGGGGGTTGTTGTGGCCCAAGTTCAGGACCTGGCACTTGGCCTTGTTGAAGCTCATCCTGTTAACATTGGCCCACCAATCTAGTCTATCCAAGTCTCTCTGTAGAGCCTCCCTATCTTCACAGGGATTGACACTCCTGCTTAACTTGGTGTCATCTGTGAACTTACTGATAATACACTCTACGTCCTTATCATCAATAAAGATGTTGAACAGAAATGTTCAACACTGAGCCCTGAGGAACACCACTTGTGACTGGCCACCAGCTGGATTTAGCTCCGTTGACCACCACTCTCTGGGACCGTCCAGCCAGCCAGTGCTTGACCCACAGAATCACAGAATCGTCTAGGTTGGAAAGGGCCTTGAAAATCATCCAGTCCAACTGTTAACCCAGCACTGACAGTTCCCAACTACACCAGATCCCTCAGCGCTATGTCGACCCAACTCTTCAACCCCTCCAGGGATGGGGACTCCACCACCTCCCTGGGCAGCCCATTCCAACACCCAACAACCCCTTCTGGAACGAAATGCTTCCTGATATCCAGTCTAAACCTTCCCTGGTGCAATTTGAGGCCATCACCTCTTGTCCTATCACTTATTACTTGGTTCAAGAGGCTCATCCCCAGCTCTCTGCACCCTCCTGGCAGGGAGTTGCAGAGGGCCAGGAGGTCTCCCCTCAGCCTCCTCTTCTCCAGACTGAACCCCCCAGTTCCCCCAGCCGCTCCCCAGCAGACCTGTGCTCCAGACCCTGCCCCAGCTCCGTTGCCCTTCTCTGGCCACGCTCGAGTCATTCAATGGCCTTTTTGTAGTGAGGGGCCTAATACACTCTATGTTCTTATCAAGATTATCAATAAAGATGTTGAACTGAAACAGTCCTTAACTCATCCCCCCTCTCTGCACCCTCCTGTCAGGGAGTTGCAGAGGGCCAGGAGGTCTCCCCTCAGCCTCCTCTTCTCCAGACTGAACCCCCCCAGTTCCCCCAGCCGCTCCCCAGCAGACCTGTGCTCCAGACCCTGCCCCAGCTCCGTTGCCCTTCTCTGGCCACGCTCGAGTCATTCAATGGCCTTTTTG